TTAGCATTTAGATTCTTAATGCAAAAATGGAGTTGCATTTAGTTGCATTTAGGTGACGAATTTTGTATGGATAAATGTACATTTAGAGTAGCATTTAGAGCTAAATGCGCTAAATGTGCTTTTACGCGTAAGCAAAAACAGCCTATTAGCCTAATTTTGACAGTTGTTTGACTGCAAATAGGGGCAAAGTAAGTTTTTACCTCTTTCTGATTGGCTGAAGGAGAAAATTTCTGATGCTGAATGGCAATTCCCCTTGTTTAGGGCTGCCAGATATCTCTGTTGCCAAACCGGGACACTTTAGGGCTCCCTTCCCTTTCATTTCGACGTGCGAAAGGATGTAGTGAAATTTTATTTTGACAGACAAAAACATGAGATCATGTGATCATTACAACGTACGCCAAGAAAACAAAACAACTTATTACAACTAAACATGATACAAATATTTATAAGGTACAATCGCTGAGAGCCAACTTTAGGAATTTTGACGTTTGATAGCATTTTGAAAATTTCTCTCGCCGTCATTTCGCATTTGTTTGTTTTTATTTTAACACAAACAAAAGAAATATATTTCTGTCGAAACAACAAAATTTGAATATACATACATAGTATGTATGTAAACAAATAAATGGAAGCAATTTNATTTTGAAAATTTCTCTCGCCGTCATTTCGCATTTGTTTGTTTTTATTTTAACACAAACAAAAGAAATATATTTCTGTCGAAACAACAAAATTTGAATATACATACATACATAGTATGTATGTAAACAAATAAATGGAAGCAATTTTCTGTAATGGACTTCTGCACGCATGTTAAGGCGAAGCTTTTGGCATGCATTTGAAGATATTTTACCTTAAAGGCACTGCACTTTTGCAAAGAACTATCTTGTGCTTACATTGGATCAGGTGGTGTGGCAAAAAATTAGTCGAGTATACATAGGGGCACTTTGGCAAATCCGTTTTCATAACACCACAAACCTCGATCCATTTTTGCTGTATATACGATAGTTGCGGGAACTTGAGGATCTTTAGATTGCTTTGCTTGCAGAGGAAAAGGAATTTGGGCAGCCGTTAAAGCAGCAACTAATTTTTCGTTTCCAATTTTTTTAGTTTTTTCAACTTCTGAATAAATAAATATTCCAAATCATAAATATTCATTTGTTTATTATAGGGCTGTGCGCTTAATTGATTACTCAAAATTTTAATTAATCATAAAGTAAATAACTCAGTTATTCGATTAATTAGAAATTATGATTGCTCAAAAGTTCAGTTACTCGAGTAATCAAGATTTTTGATAAACCAAAAAAACAAAATATTTGCTTTATGATTAATCAACATTTCGAGTAAAATGAGTGATCAACATTTCAACTCTTTACATATGTATAAAGCATGGTTGCCACAATTGGTAACTTTCTACCAAAATTGGTAACTTTTAAAGGGTTTGGTAACTTGGTAACTTTTATTTCATTTTGGTAACTTTTGCAACTAAACGTCTATTTGCATTACTAGAAAGAAATTAATTATGTTTTGAATGTGCGTAATAATAAAAACCCTTCGAGTTTCAGTGGCAGCACTACTGACACTTCTACAAAATTACTTCGATAAAATTAGAGTCATCTCATATTCGAATACTGGAAATATTTGAATTACAGTGGCAGCACCAAGGGCTGCACTTCCAAAACAACTTTCGATTTTTTGCGATCAATTTTGAATTCTACCCTCTCACATTTTAATATTGTTCATCTGGCAATTTTTGGTAAGGTCCATAAATCGTTTTGATTATTCCGGCACAAAAAAAAATGGCGCGTGCTTTTTACCAGACCCGCCTATGGACATGTGTACCGACATGTACAGTAAATTATGAAAAACCGACAAAATAGCAAAAAAAATTAGCAGTTTTCGTAATTTACTCGAAACGGACGGTTAAAAGCACCCGCCACTTTTTTTTGTGTACCGGTGCTATTATTCCGTGAGTCGCAGGTCCAAGCAGTGATGCCAGATTGTGGGTAATTTCCCTATTTGAGGGATATTTTGCAACAAAAATTATTAAGAGGGAAAAAAGGGACATTTCCTTTAAAAAAGGGAATTTTCATGTAACATAATTATCCATACATAATTGTTCAGAATTCGACTAAGAATAATCGGAACTCTTACATAAATATAACTAATCGCCCATTAAGCACACTCGTACTGTGCTGTCAATCAATATTTTCATTCGTACTGTACTTTGGTATAATTTCTCTAGTACACATCACTATGAAATTCATACAAACATGTGATGGCATTTATAGCCATAATCTATGTATACATTTTGGATTTGCCTGCAACTATAGGAATACATTCAGAAGATCATTTTTTTTGGAATATTTAACCGATTTCTGATGTCCGCTGCAAAGAAAAAACGTTTTCAAATATGCGGGTTGGAGGAAGAAGAGTTCCGTGGCTTGTTGGATTCTGTGGCGGACGATCCATTCAAAGCATTTTGCAAGGCGTGCAATACAAAGATACAAAGTAGAGGTGTCAAACTATCGATGGTACTATCGATAGTATCGATAGTTTTATTTTTTTGTCCCTATAGATGAGTAGTGATAGTTTTTCTCAAAAAAGTTTAAACCATCGATATTACTAGTTGACTATCGATAGTTTAAAACCTCTAGCACAGCCGATTTTATTAATAATGTCTCCATGTAGCTGCGCGTCAGTTCTCTAAGTTTGTAAATTTTTTATTATAATTGATACTTTCATTGTGATTCCTCCTTTAATGGCCGTTTTCTCAAGCAACATGTGTCCTAATTTGTTTTTAGTGAAATGCATTTGTCATTCTGCTGCATTGGTGGCTTCATACGCTTGTAAAGAGCTACCAAAAGAATGCGAGGAGCTCATGAGAGGTATCTCTACATATGTTTCAGAAAGTGGAAAGAGCTGTTCGGAGCTAAAGGAATTTCAAGAATATTTGGGTTTGGAATCAAAGATAATTCTAAAACCCGCAAAAACTCGTTGGCTTTCTTTACATCCTTGTGTAGATAGAATTTTAGAAAATTGGGAGCCCCTTAAAAGCTATTTTCGCATAGCCTCTTTTAAAGATAAACGTAAAAAGGCTGACACAATTTATGAAGAGTTGGAAAGAATTGAAAACAAGGCTTGTTTTTGTTTTCTCAAATATGTTCTTAACTTTTTCAATGAGTTTAACGCATTGTTTCAAAGCCGAAAAATGCTCATTTACCGATTAGCACAAGAAAGGGGTGGGGTTTAGTACCGCTCACAACTATTTCGGGCTATTCCGTCCAAATGGGTGGCCCGATCCAAAAAAAAATTTCACACACTTGTAGCCAAGGGTCCACGCAATATTTTAACACTCACTTTAGTAAATTTTGGTTACTAATTTATTTACAAATTGGGTTTGAAATATGCCCTTTTTTGTAAAATTCGGAAATTAGCGTACATTTATCACTCCTATTCTGCTTAAATTAGCCACTTTACCAATATATTTTTGTATTCCCCTTCACTTTACACTTTACTTGATTTGTTATAACTTGCTTTACGACTTTAATATTAACCAATTCATCACAATTCATTAAATAAAAACACCTTCAAAATCACGCGTCTGACTTTGGTTGCATATGCAAATTAAATGGCGGAGTTCAGCTGTCAAACTCCAAAATATGCAAAAGAATGAGAGACAAAAGAAGATAGGATATAACCCAGTAAGCATTAAAAATATACAAAGGTGTTCTCTGCAAAAGGTGTTCAGCTCCTTTTCTTCGCAAAACAGAAAGGAGAATTCTACTGCCTGAGGGTTATAATCCCTAAGTGCGGCCGAAGGCCGCCTACGCAGAAAGGTGTTCTCTGCAAAAGGTGTTCAGCCCCCCTTCTTTGGCAACACAGAAAGGAGAATTCTACTGCCTGAGGGTTATAATCCCTAAGTGCGGCCGAAGGCCGCCTACGCAGAAAGGTGTTCTCTGCAAAAGGTGTTCAGCCCCCCTTCTTTGGCAACACAGAAAGGAGAATTCTACTGCCTGAGGGTTATAATCCCTAAGTGCGGCCGAAGGCCGCTTACGTAGAAAGGAATTCTACGCAAAAATACATTTGTTAAAAAGAACATTTTTTTTTATAAAAACTTTTTTTTTCTATTTTTAATTAACTTTTTATTCTTTATTCAAAATCCCCCCATATCTAATTTGGCATAATTTCTTTTATTAAAAAATCCCACGGTTTCTGTTAGTTGGGTCATATTCCACTTCAAACTGCTCAGTTTGCCTAAGAAAAATCCGTTTTTCCCCCTTTTTCAAACGGTTCCCTAGGTGCCTGTGGGAGGAGTCCAAGGGAGGGGTTCCCCTTTTTAGAAAGCGGCGACTTTCTATTGGGGGGAGTTTAACAGAAACACAAAAAAAAGATTTAAAAAAGTTACCTGTAGATGTGATGTGGAGTCAAATTATAAATTTAAAAAATTATAATGACAACTTTTTGTTTAATAATCTTAAGGAATTGGTTGAGATTGTTCTCACATTACCCCATTCAAACGCTGAATCAGAAAGAATATTTTTAATTGTAACTGATGTTAAATGTAAAAAGCGGAACAAATTATCTAATGAAATGCTAAATAGTATATGTAAAATAAGAGTTGCTTTTGAATCAAAAGAAGTCAAGTGCTTTAACTTTAATGTTACCAAAAATCATATTCGCTTACACAATGCGAATAACTTGTACAATTGTCAATAAGTATTCAACAATAACAAAACATACGTAACATATGTAAATATATGTACCTATATGTACATATGAAAGTTACATTTTTACTACCGACATATGTATATGTTTTGAGCTCTGTGGGAATTTTGTGGGATACATTTTTAAGATGTGAGAAATTGAGGGATTTTTTCCCGATTTTCGTGGGCTTTTTGACAGAGAATGTCTGGCATCACTGGGTCCAAGTATCGGCACATTCCGAACGAAAAATTACACTGAAAATGTCTCCAAACCAAATTTGACAAGGGATGATGGAAAATCGTTCCACATTAAATCATACTCCAACAGCGAAAATGAGAATAACGGCACATGCAGTAATTAATTGATAGAAAAATATTTTCTAATAAAAAGAATTATTATAATTGTCAATAGCATTTTCAATCTTGATAATTTATCAAGAAAATAGATTTAAACTTCTGTGCTAGAACTGGGAGTTCTTGATAAATAATCAAAAATTGACAAATTATAAAAATATTGAATTTATTAAGTGCACAGAATCGGGCTATAAGTATATACATATTTGTTATGAAATATAGCAGTGTTATTCAGTGTATTTTTTTCTCAGTGAAGAAGTGAAGATTTGGTAACTTTTGGTAACTTTTCTTAAGAGATTTTGGTAGAAAAAAGTTTTGGCGAGTGGCAACCATGGTATAAAGTAGTTAAAGTTCCTTGATACTTTGAAAACAAAGTTTCTGTTTTCAAAAATTAAAACGAAAAATTTTTTTCATAAAGAGAATGTAGAAAAGAAAATAAGCATTTTCCAAAGCAAACTCTTTTAACGAGCAAAATAATTTTTTTTGAGTAATCATATTTCAAGTAACTCGATTAATCATCGTTTTGAGTAATCAAAATCTTGATTACTCGAGTAATTGATTAACCGAATAATTGATTAACCAACTTGCTCGAGTAATCGAAATATTTGTACATATCATGCAACTAAAACACAGAGAATTTTTCACAATGCATGAACCTTTTTTATTCTTTATATACAGTTTATACTAAATATATGAAAAAAAATAAAAATTAAATTGTTAAAATTTGTGCTAAACTCGGGAAAATTCAATAAATTTGCATACAAATTTGCAACATTCTAATCAGACTTTTTATAAAAATTTTTAAAATGAAGTTTTGCAGCCCATTAAATTTTAGTTGATTTTTGGTATTGTTTTTACTGAGAGTTTCTTCCATACAAACTATGTTCGATAATTCTTTTTATATGGAAGACACTGTCAGCAAAAAAAAATAAATGCTAAAAATCAACGAAATTTGCTGGCAACTTCAGACTTGCACTTTATTAATTGGCTCATAAGAAATTGTGATCTGATGAAAGAGCCTCCGAGCCGATAATTTTGTCCGGCACTGTACTTATAAGTACTCTAGGTTTCATGAAAGAAAAAAATTTAAGTACAAGATAACATTAAAATATCAGTCATATTTTTCGTTGCTGTGAACTTGTTTCAAAACTTCTGTCTTTACCTTAATATAATTGTAAAACTCTGTGCACGTCATTTTGAACGTATTTAGGTACATATACTAATCATCAACTATTGCTTGTGCAAAGTTCAACTATCTCGAAATGTAACTATTTCACAAATTAAACCGGTGCACTGAGAGAAAGAAGTTTAGAATTAAAAAAGCGCGCTAAAAAAAAATATACGCATATAAAAGAGCACCAACCCAACTCGTAATACATATAAGTATACAAATTTTAGTATTTAGTATAGAAATATTCAATTCAAATACGCCCATATTAAAATGAAGCGATTTGCAATTACCGATTGCTTTTTCATAATTAAGTTAAAAAAATATTTAAATTCCATGCTGGTTGTAATGGGAATTGAACCCTGACCCTCTGGAAATTAGCAAATTGTGGCAAGCATCTTCGCGCACTCAGCTACAGCCAGACATGTAAATGTGCATTTAAATGTTGAGTTTGAATCAACACCACGCGTGCGTGTTATGAAAGTATTATTTTTAAATACGAACATTTTTAAACGATAATCAAATAGAAACTATTCATGTTTACTATGCGTTATTTCCCTCAGTGAATTCATAAAATTTTTCTGAATATTACAACGCGTTTTTTCTCTTAGTGTAGTGATTTTTGAACTTTTATTCAAATTTGTGCAATCAAATCAAAAACCGGGACACTAAAACGAAACCCGGGACATTTTAAGGTTGGATCGGGACACCGGGACAAATAGTCTAAAACCGGGACATGTCCGGGAAAACCGGGACATTTGGCAGCCCTACCCTTGTTCAATATACAAGCCAAGATAGCTTTTCATAAGCCAATATAATTATGTTGGGTAAGTCCTCCATACAAAATAAGCTAATAGCTTAAATTTCTGGACAAATAAAACACGGCTATAGTTGAGTTTTGTCTTGTGCAGAGTTTGCATGAAGCGAAACAGACATTTCTTTGCTGTTATTTATTCTCCACTACTACAGCGATGTAAAATTAGGTCTGTGCTGCACAGCGGCAACTTTTTTTTCACGAACTTCATCTTTATGACATAAAGGAAAAGCTGAAGATCAATGTATGTATGTATGCCACACCAAGAAGCTTACAGTGAGCATGAGCCGATATCGCAGCAAGCAGCATTTTGAAGTAAAAAAAAAAAACAGTTGCCAAACGACCCTGCAAAAAATGGGACTAATCCGGGATGACTCCGGGAGCAATCGCAAAGGAGCATGCGACTAATACCACTTTTGATCTTTTTATATGGAATGAACTGTTCGCTTTTGTTCGAGCATGTCCTATGAAGAGACTAATACCCGAATGGATACAAAAAGCGCCTAGTCACTTTTAAAAATGAGATTCGAACTGGGGTGCTCAGTTTTGTTAGGCAAATACTCTCTCTGTGTGCCAACACCGCACATGAAATTTCATTGACTAAGTGCGTACATATCATTAAATCGTTAATAGTACCCGTTAGAGATGAGTTGGGGACTAATTGATCTCCAATTATACCCATAAGGGATGAGTCGAGACTAATTGACCTCCATTAGTACCCGTATGAGACTAGTTGCGACTAATTAATGCCCAATTGTACCCGATTGAGAGTAACCTCGGAATACTCTCTTTAGAGATTAGTCGCACAATTTTTTGCAGGGGAAATACACGCTGTACAGTGTTTGTTTGTTTTGAACGCAGCGCTGCTTATACATACATAAATTTCACTTCAGGCGCAGCGCTGCTTGTACATTAATTTCGCTTTGCGCATGCCTGAAGCTGGCAAAGGTTCTTCTTTTATTTTTGCGCTGTGCTAGCTGAGCATAAAATAAAATAATGTAAACAAGTAATTTTTAGCAAAAAAAAAAACCGACTTCAACTCTCATATAAAATAAATATATATATATATATCTCATGATCCGCTGATCGGATCTTAACCAGATTAGTATGGGACCACCTCTGAGACACTACCTTTCCGATGCAAAAAGAATTATCGAAATCGTTGACGTGGTCCAAAGTTATGCGGTAACATACATAAAAAAAAAAAA